AAATTAAAGATCCCCTTCCAAACCATATTAGCTTATAATTTACTAAGCCATTTGTGTCTTTGTACATAAAATATAAGTCTACATATAGGCATAAATCAAGTCATAATGAAATATATACAACTAAAATTGGGAAAAAGAGTACATACCAGAAAGAACAAGGATCTGGTAAGTGCTCCTGCCATATAATTCTATTTTCACTTTTCCAGGGTTCTCTTTGCACAGAGTATTCCAAAAGGATATATAGTGAGTGTTCTTAGATAGTGCTGCTGTGAAGTGAACTTTAAGGGTTCTGGGTTGGTCCATCTTGACAAGACTCTTCCCCCAGAGGTCATGCTTGAAAATTGAACTCTCTGAACATAAGATACTGTTTTATGGGATGCAGCATGAGCTAGTCTGGTAAAGTCCATTGATGTTTTCAAGGAAAGTACTGCCTCTAAAAACCTCAGTGGACTTCTGCTGAACTACATGGCATTCAGAAGAGGATGCTTGTCATAGTCACTGCTATGAGAACCCCAAATTTAGCAGTCACTGAACAAAGTCTGACAAAACATTAATACATAATAACTGAATGTAGAAGAATATAGAGTTGTCAAGGTTGACAGTTTACAGAACTGCACATCATAAACCATACAAGACGAATATATTTAATATTTTGAATGTAGAAGAAAATAAAATTAAAAATGAGATTACGTACATTAGACTAGGAAGTTACTGAGATTATTAAATGGTGAAAAATTGGGACAACAGTGTCATTCAAAATCATTCTTCCTCATTTGTCAATATTTTTTTAAACCTAATAGGTTTAGCATTATATACAATACACATTNATATATATATATATAACTCAGAATTACATAAAAAATGACTGGTATTCTGTTAAGATAACTTGTGACATGCAAACAAATTTATGAAGTGAAATTTATAAAATAAAATAAAATAAACAATTTGAATAAAAGGTTAATTTCAGAAATGAGAAAACAGTAAACACCAGCGGCAATACTGATGTAATCCAAACAGAAACATGAGTTATTTAAAACTGCATAGGAATACATCAATCTAAAGATACTTTAAATATAACCCTTCCTGTATCTTACACAATATACTCTGTGCTTGAGACTTCACCTTGCATGTCATATCTGAATAATCTGCATACACCTTCTTGCTCCTCACATTAAACATGATATATTTGCAATCTCGCGTTTACTTGCATTGCTTTATAGTTCCTGTGAGTGAACCTAGGCTGCAGGGGTAACTCTTTTAATGTACTGGACTCATACGAGTGAAAAGAAAAATAGTGTGAATATTTGGATAAAGAAAAATGAACAGAATTTAGAAATGTAAGATTTGAAGGTTTCACGGCGGTGACTATGAAGAAAGCAGTCTTCTGGGATGTGGCACCGTGTAGATGTGGTGTTAACTGACGTTTCGGAGGAACATATCGCCTCCATCTTCAGTCTGCTTGTACCAGTTCTCACGGTCTCTTCGCTTGCGGATTTCTTATTTTTCCTTCTACCCTGAAGATGGAGGCGATACGTTCCTCTGAAACGTCGGTTAACACCACATCTACATGGTGCCACATCCCAGAAGACTGCTTTCTTCAGAATTTAGAAATGTTGGTAAATTTTTGCTCATGGGGAAGGGTTAATATTAAACTCCTAAATTTCATCCTAGGCATAAGATGAACAAGAATTAAGAGCTGTAGTGTATGGCAAGGTACTATCTGTAAAGTGAGAACTCGGGGGTTTCCACCTTACTCTTTCTTGAAACAAAGCACTAAGCATACGTTATACAATACAGTATGAAATTAATGGTCAAAATGCTCTCCTTTGACTAATATTATGAACAATGAACAGCTGGGAATAATATGATCTCTGAGATTCTGAATAATACACGATTTTCTGAAAATGGCACTAATCTTTTCTTGCCACAAAAATAGTGCCTGTCAACAATACACTAAACTCTGCATAATGTGCTATACAAGAATGATAATTTATTAAAGGGTGACATTTCAGACTGTGTTTGGCTAATTCTTCTAAGATCAGCTCTACTCAGTAACCTGAACTGACACGTAAGTAGTTAAAAGCAGTGTGAGGACACATCTATATCTTCATGCTTAATTTTGTCAGAAGTCTGAGTTTAAAATGTTACACTGTTCATTTTATTTACAGTAATCTGAAATGTAAATGAGGCGTGATGCATTTCACTGCCAGTAGAAAGAACAGAAACTGAAATCCTTTCTCTTCAATTATAATTTTCAAGGAACACAAACTATATTTATCTCTTCATAAGTCCACAATATTTTTTCTTTTGGAAAATTTCTGATCCAATAAATAGTGAGTGTGAAGGGCTTTCAAATAAAGGGTCACCTTGGATCAGCTCAAATTTTATTAAGATTTCCCCAAATATCAAAGTTCTTCAGAAACTGAACATGAATATATTTCCAAATTCATATTTTGTTTAGAGGCTGTCAGTATCAAATACCACCACCAAAATCTGTTGGGTGTAAAAGTGAAGTTTTTCACACTGCTGATGCTGTGACAGACTGTCAGACTTATAAATGTTGACAGTATACTACTTTCTTCAACTTTTGTAAAGTGCGAGAGCGAAAAAGCTGCCATATCCCCAGTTAAGTTACAAAGTGTAAATCAATATTTACAATACAAGTCTCATTATTGTAGTGCCATTAAGCTCTAAACTTTTTCCACTCCCATATTTTAAATCACTGCTAAAGGAAAGTAATTTTCACAAAAACATATACTGTGACGTGGATGGCGCAACAGGAAGTAGGGATCACGTAAACTCTGCGTTTCCGTGAGTGACGTCACATACCCCCACTCTTCCATCATTACACAACGCTCGGCAAAAACCCCTCCCCGCTAGGCTGTGACGTCACGCAACAGGCAAGTCCATGCAGCGACTGTTGCTAGGCAATCGGTAAACACGGTGATTATGCAACAGGGAAGCGAGTTGCGTTTTCTGCTGTCTGGTTGAAGGTTTACAAGAGACAGTGGAAGTAATTGTGATACTGCAAATTGTGTAACTGTAAGAGTGAATGTGGAATAAATTCGCTATATCCAAAACGGCGTGAAGTTATTTGTCGCGTGACATACTAATGGCACGCAGATGGATGGATTACTATACTGTAAGGAAATGGTTGCCATAAAATCTGTGTCCATGAACTGAAATTCTATTCTGTGCTTCCAATTTTGTAATATGTGATGTAGTTAACATAGTATGGTGGTACAATATGCCTCCTGCCTTTGACTTTTTATTATTTCAATGATGCATATGCAGAGAAAGTTTCAGTGCAAAAAGTGGATAAAATAACATGAATGCTCAAGCGGGTGGGGAGTCTATAAATACAGTACAATAAGCTACCATAATTAAAACACTTATTACTCTGGAGTTTAAGATAAAATCCAATCACTGTAACATTATAAAATACATCTCTTCAGGAATATTAAATTATATTTCCTATTTACAAAGATAAGCAACATACATCATTCCCAGCACCTCAATGAACCTGACTCAGAGCTAGAAGTTGCCTCTAAATATTAGGAGACAGAAGTTCCTTTATTTAGGCAAGAAAGAACATTCCTGAGTAAGGTAGGCACTATGATTACCTGGTACTCGGACTTGTTGAGCCTTGAATACAGTTTAACAATGCGCGACATCAGCATTTAAAATAAAATTGAGGTTTTCATAGTGGTAAAGATTCATATTGCGTGATCTTTTCGATTATGACACCATGTAGTCTGATAGGTGGACATCACTTCCATACAACCAGCCAAACTTTCTAATTGACTCACTTTTATCCTGAAGATAGATGCTGTATGTTCCTCCAAAACGCTGATCAGTGTCACAGGCCACAAGACCACAGCAAGAATCTTTGGCATTTTACAGGCCTTAACCTAGACAAAATTACTGATATGTGCTCAACATCCCTGTATACTGTATTATTTGACTGTAGATAAATGATTAAAGTACGTAGCTGATTCCAAAAGTGTCTCCAAAGCACTGGGTAATTTTTCGTGCAGCTGTTGGCAACCCTGTTGCATTCGTTGCTTCCCCCACTCCCCCCAATACCACCAAGCATGCGCGCACGTAGCTAGGATGCTCAGTCTTGGCACGGTTGCCATTAGAAATGGAGCTCCCGTTACTAAAACCGCGAAGTGTGAGATTCGCGCAGTTATTCGGTTTTTGAACGCAAAAGGGACTAAACCAATTGAAATTCATCGTCAATTGGTGGAAGTGTATGGCGAGTCGTGCATGGACATAAAGAACGTCCGCAAGTGGTGTAGGGAGTTTGAATCTGGTCGTACTGCAATACACGACGAAAAAAGAACTGGGAGACCGTCAATTTCTGACGAGACAGTCGCGAAGATTGAGCGAGTCATGCGTCAGGATAGGCGCATCACACTCGATGATCTCTGCATTTCGGTTCCCAAGGTTTCCTGAACCACCATTTATCGGGTTCAGACAGAGAAGTTGAATTATCAGAAGGTGTGCGCAAGATGGGTCCCGCGAATGCTCACGGAAAACCACAAACGANATTGTTGGTTGACTTTACGGAAACTGGGACCACAATAAACGCTGAGAGATATTGTGAGACACTGAGAAAACTCAGGCGGGCAATTCAGAACCGGAGAAGAGGGATGTTGAGCAAGGGCGTAAGCATTTTCCACGATAACGCTCGCCCCCATGCTGCCCGACAAACCGTCGCTCAACTGCAACAGTTTGGATGGAACATCATCACCCATCCACCATATAGTCCGGACTTGGCGCCCAGTGACTACCATCTCTTTCCAAAGTTGAAAGAACATTTGTCTGGAAAGCGCTTCAACAACGACGATGAGGTGAAAGCTGAGGTTCGAAGTTTCCTGAACAGCACGGAGGTGAACTGGTATGACATGGGCATACAAAATCTGCCACTGCGCCTACAAAAATGCATCGACCGAAATGGCGATTATGTAGAGAAATGAGTACATGTTCAAGATTCAACTGATGTATCCAAAATTGAAAACAAATGTTTATTTTATATTTTCAAACATAGGAGACCTTACTTTTGGAATTACCCTCGTACAATGAATTTTCAATATGCAACGTGATATATGTGCCTTAGTATCTATTTTCAGTACCATCCATCCGTTAATTGTAACAGAAGATGCAATAACTGTCAGGGTTTCACATCAGTGAAGCTAGGAAATACAGGAATGTATCTTAACCCAAACTGGCAACATACACATACATTCACTGCAGCTGGACTGCACAGCTTATGTTCATACAATGTAAATCAAGTGTGTCTCAACCAGCGACCCACTGGCGTCACACAAGATTCAAAATCAACCAAAAACATAACATGCAAGATAAAAAAACATGAGAAACCTTTATGGCTATTTTGAGGTTCTTAATAATTTAAAGAGGACCCCAAAACAATTACTAAAACCACACTAAAATAAAAGACATGAGAAATTTTGTGATTCATTAGAACTCTCAAATTTCAAGCAGTCAGTCAATGCACATAATAATTATGATCATATACAGATATTTCAGTACTCCCATGTTACGCTTGTTTGGTGAAAGTGATTGAATTGAAATATATGCTTATTTTGTTTTCAAGACTGTATCTTAAAAACATCAGTATACAAGTAGAAATTAGGAAATTCCTCAAAGATTGTGTGGTCTATATCGCTACCAAGGTTGACAAACCCTAGCATAAAATCACTTCCTCAAAATTCTAGCTACCATTCAAATCGTTGTGTGAGCCTTCCTTTGTTCCATATGATAAGCTGAATGAGTGGTCTCCTGTGCCCTTTGACGCTTCTTATGGTGAACGCGCCCTTCTACTAGGTACAAGATCCCACTGATGTAAAGAAACAGAACTCCAAAAACAGCTAGTCCATAAGACCAGGATATGTTATTGTGTTCCCAGTTAGGCATCCAGTCTCGACCATCCCCACAAGCACCAAAAATAATGACTGCAATTGTTCCTGACACAGCTGTAAGTTGAAAAAGAAAAACAAGTTAAGAGGCCATCTTTAATCTGTGTTACTGCTGAAACAATACATATTAAGTTATAGCAAGGGTTTATATTATTGTAACTTTTACATTTCACCCAGACTGTCCCTTTTTATGCCCATTCACAACGCTGCAGAGGACCTATCAACCCCCCCCCCCACACACACACACACACACAATCAGTCAGATCATCCATCTTTCTATATATGAAATAACTCGAGCTGCCAAACAGATTTTCATAAGTAACCTGACCAATAAGACTTTCGTGACATTCAGTATTTGTCAATTTTAATAAAATTTGCTGAATCATTCCAATTATGGTTAAAACTGGACAAAAAGTGAACACTCTTTGCCAAATATTTGTTGGAGTGAAAAAGTTTCATAGAAAGAAACTGCAGAGGAAAATGAAACACAATTTTTTCGGTATCTTACACTTTTCAACATTATTAGACAGAAGCAGTTGTGGCCTATTTTAAGATACTGTCCAAATATTCGTCTGGAGATTGAGATATCTCAGTTAGGACAGCCAATGCCTGGGCTAGGAACCGGACTGGTATCACCGAGATGCTAAAATTATCTTTAGTGCTGCAGTTACGTGGGGGTAGTTGGTTGAGGGGCTATGCTACAAGCCAGAAGGTCGCGGGTTCAAGTCCCAATGAGGTCATTGGATTTTTTTTCAATTGACCTAATCCTTCCAGCCACACTTATGGCCTTGGGGTTGACTCAACCTCTAACAGAAACGAGTACCAGGAATTATTTAAATAATTTTCCTGGGGAGTAAAGCGTGGCTGGTGTGTAAGGCTGACAACCTTACCGCCATCTTTGAGCCGATTGTCTAGATACTGTGGGAGCCTCAACATCTCACAACTCTATGGGCCTTCACAGCCTGTTACAGGGATAACTTTGCTCTTTTTTGCTTTTCCTGCAGTTACGTGGATTAGCTTCATGTCCCATTATCCACATATTACATAACTAAACTTTGAGATATCTTTCCTTTATGCTGCAAAACAAATGTACAGAGACAAGCTATGTTGCCATTTCCCAGCATGGAACATGTAACAAATAAGATGTTGAAAGATAATTCATATTAACTTATAATAACTGCATGTTAGTAAAAGATTAGTCCTACCCAAATTTTCACAGGATTTAAGTGTTTAAAGAAAACTACAAATGCATACACATACAAATACAGTAAAACTTGGTTATAGCAACATCGGTTTCTGCGACACCTTGTCTATTGCGTCAAATATTCAATGGTACGAACTAATTCCTCATAAAGCAACTGTTTTTATACCTTGCTTAGTACGACATGCACAAATGCATCAACCTCGTATGTAACGTCAATTTCATTCCTGAATTTCTCTGATATCGTGGGAAAGTTCGATGTGTCTGCCCACTCTCACTTTCTCTACTTGCTGACGTGACTGTCCTGGAAGAATACGACCGCGGGCTGCAAGAGGAGCATGGGTTTTATGCGAAAA